TTGTCTTGTCTTGTCTTGTCTTGTCTTGTCTTGTCTTGTCTTGTCTTTTCCTTTTTTCTTTTTTCTTTTCTTTTCTTTTCTTTTCTTTTCTTTTCTTTTCTTTTCTTTTCTCTTTACTTTTTTCTTTTCTTTTTTCTCTTCTCTTCTCTTCTCTTCTCTTCTCTTCTCTTCTCTTCTCTTCTTCCTTTATGAGAAATTCTAACTTAATTGTACAGATTTCTTCCAGTCACCTGTCTCCATGTACATACATATGTCCTCATAAAAATACAAATATAACTGATTTTTAAGACTGCAAAGTTCAACGATCCATATGTGCTTAGAATAGTACTTGTTGTCCCATTACTTTAATTTGTTCAAGAAGTGAATTTATGTCTCGCATTTACAAATACATTCATATGGAAACAGCTATGTATTTTCATAGCACATAGGAATAAAAAATAGAATCATTACAATTACTATGAGTAGGAAAAGGAATTCCTCCAAATAACTGAAAATTATGAACTTAGACCTTCTCTGACACAGAAATGTCAGCAGTTTTGTCATTAGAAATAATTAGTATTCATGCAATGGAGTTTTTGTATTAAAATAGTATTTTTATAGATGTATTATGTAAGTTTATTTTAAATTATCCTTGAGCTCTTGAATATAATCGTATATAACTACAGTTATATTTCACATTATAAAACAGCTTTATTAGACATTTGATTAGGGTTAAGCTCCTAAGTGTTTTTATATACCAACTTCTTATATATTTTTATGATACTTTTCTTAATATTTGTAATCAATGATTGAGTTAATATGAAGGTATTTATTTTGTTGACAGTAGTCAATATATATTGCTCACTACTAAGATGCTTATATGTGGCTGTGACCATGATCAAAGGACTATTTCTAATGGTAAATAGTATAACTATGTGTGTGTGTGTGTATATATATATATATGTATATATATATATATATATATATGTGTGTGTGTGTGTATATACACATATGTGTGTATATATACATACATATATACATACATATGTTAATATATATACATACATATATACACATGTATAATATATACACATCGTTATACATGCATATAATTATATATACATTTATGTATAATTGATAATTCATAATACATATTTTTTCTGATGGTAATGGCCATGAAAGATCAGATACCATAACTAGCATGAATATATCTCATGTATTGGATCTCTAGGAATTGTTAAATACCTTTATATATCTCATAGATGTAAAGATTTTAAAAATAATTGAAGGATTAGAGTAAGAAAAATATTATAGCACACTGGTTAGAAAGTAAGTCCTTTTCTCCTGGAACAAATTATATAGTAATCTCTATATAATTTTAAAACAATAGTGTTTTTTTATTTCCAAAAATCATATAAAAACTTGATGTTTACATGAAAAATGCAGATTGAACCCCATTATGAGTGAGACTATAATTTTATATAAGATACCACACAAATTCTAAAATTTATGCCATCCATAAATACCTGTCATTGGAGTAGATTCAATGTCTTCATGAGATATCAATAATTAGTGAGTACAAAGATTTGAGTTACAGCTCCTTTGCTTATTATCTGTATTAGGATTGGCAAGTCTCTTTAATTCCCTGTGTTTCTATTTCCTTAAAGGTGAAGCTGAGAAATATTGTTTGGTAGTTCTGTTACTAATTCAACTATAAAGTTTTATTTATGGTTTAGATCATGGGTAAGTTAGACTACAGTCTGTGTGCCAGATTGAGTCTGTGCACATTTTGGTATTACCTGCATAGTAAGCAAGTTTGGGTTTTCTGTTAGTTTTCATTTTTAAATTTTGGGAAAAAAATTTTAAATAATGTCTGTGAGGTGTGCCTGGGTGACTTAGTTGGTCCAGAGTTAGATTTGATTTCAGCTCAGGTCATGATCTCAGGGTTGTGAGGTTGAGCACCGCATCAGACTCTGTGCTGATCATGAAGCCTGCTTAAGATTCTCTCCCTCTCTCTCTCTCTTTCTCTCTCTCTCTCTCCCCCTCTGCCCCTCTCTCTAGCTCTCTCTCTCTCTCTCTCTCTCTCTCTCTCTCTCTCTCTTTATCCTCACTTTTGAATAACAAACAAGTAAGAAATGATTTTTGTGATATGGAAATTATATGAAATTCAAATTTCAGTTTCCATGACTAATGTGTTTTATTTTTAAGTTTATTAATTTATTTTGAGAGAGAGAGACAGAGAGAGACAGAGAGAGACAGAGAGAATGAAAGCACAAATGGGAGAGGGGCAGAGAGAAGGAGTCAGAATCCCAAGCAGGCTCCATGCACCATCAGCACAGAGTTCCATGTGGGGCTTGAACCCACGAACCTCGAGATCATGACCTGAGTCGAGATCAAGAGTCTGACTCTTAACCTACTGAGTCACCCCGGTGCCCCTAGTGTGTGTGTGTGTGTGTGTGTTTAATGCAGCTACGCTTATGCATATATGTATCGTATATGGCTGTTTTCAACCAAAAGTGGTGGTATTAAGAGGTGGCCAGAGAAAGTATGGCTCACAAAATCTAAAATATTTACTAGTGGCATTTTCAGGTAATGTTTGTGGATTCCTATTAAGATGCCTGCTGCACCTAGCATAGTGTGAATACTTTAGGAGATCGTGGGACTATTTCATCTTTGTACATACGTATCTATCTTCATGGCTATTGTAACGATCAAATGGTAATTCACAGAAAGTGCTCTATAAACCATAAACTTGTATATCCATGTTAATGGTTGTGATAATTATTTCAAATTATTGAAACAGAAATCTTTCTCATTACTCATTGCTTTTATGAAAGAGAGAATTTTGAAAGTTTCATTTCACCATTTACACTGGGGACCACTCCTCTGTAGATATTTTAATGAATGTTTATTAACTCTGGTTTCAT